TGAGAAGATTTCTGTTAAGGTATAAAAAACAAAGAAACAAAAAATTCTTTCAATCTTAAATTGTTTCGTAGATAGTAATCGAGATTTGTTGGTGGTCGTTAGTGAATAACCTGTTTCGCCCAGCACTGCTCATTTCGATTCCCAGGAAATACACAATTACAAACTTTTCCACCTAATTTTGATTATTCGGAGTCCAAGATAGTTATTTTTTTAAATTTATAATTACTTACTGCATTTTTCCTATTTTTAAAATTAAAGGATAACTGACATGATTCCCACCAAAAGGAAAACTTTTTTTAACTGTTTAACAAAAATTGTTTCGGAAAAATGACTTGATTAATTATATAAATTAGTTTTAGGGTTGTATAGCTTATAAGTCTGTTTCATTTCATGGAAAGTAGATTTAATTCATTTCAATACATTTTAAGCCATCACAGGTAACTTCATTTATTTAATTACTTTCCTGCTAAAAATTTTATATTCATGCATGAAGACATTTGTCCTTCAATTTGAAAATTATTTTCAGTAAGATATTCATGAACGTTTATATTTTTCATATGATATATTTTAATGTACTTCTTCTCTTCATAATAATTTTAATATAAGTAAATTATCCATGATTATTTCCTTCTATGCTGTAAAGTTTTGTATTGTTTTGAACTATCGAGTGTGGCTATCTTTAGTAACAGACCTCCCAAATAATAATAAAATTAATTAGGATATATCAAGAAAATGAACATATAATATTTACAATAATAGAAACAAAAACAAAACAATTATTGAGTTTTAACTGTATATTATTGAATGATTCATACAGAGAAGTTAAAACTATGTTTTATTAAAAAGCAACACACGAAAATCACAGGACAGAAGTTTCTCCACGTTTATGACCTTGATAGTTGATAAAATCTTAATAAAAACAAAAAAAAATAAAAAATAAAATGCTTGTTTCAGCCAAAAACGTGAGAAAATCTTTTTATCATTTCTTTTTTTCGGCTGAAAATTTAAAATTAAAATTTTTAGAATACTTACCTTTATTTGGTTTTGTATGAATTGTAAAATTTTCATTAATAATAAGAATGAAATAGAGGTGTTGACGTTTGTTTAATTAAGTAATCCAAGGGACAAACTATAAATTACGAGGTTGGCATTATCCCATCATAGACTTTTCAGTCTTGGTGATGCTCAACTCCTAATATCATGCAATATTTGTTTCAGTTTAGTTTATTAAGGTACAATTTTATTCAAATTTCTTCGAAATCAGGTCTTGGATTACTAACATAAGTTTCTAGTTAAAAAATATAAATAAATAAAAACGTTAATAAGAATTATCTTGGATAAACAGCTATTAGTTTTACCTGAGCATTTATACTAATAGGAAATTGCCAGACTTTCTAAACAAAATAATGTTGATATTATTATATATATTTTTTGTACATGTTTTTTTTTTTAATTTGGTGCAAGCAAGAATGGAATATGATTATTAATTAAGTAGTGTAATAAAATAGGTCATTAACGAGGATTATACATATGCAAATATTTATAAATTAATTCAAATGTTCATTTCATGTATATACTTTTTTCCTATAATAGGTTTTAGAAGTAGATTCTCAATAGTTTAAGACAGTATCATAAACCAATGGTTGGCATTAGAAGGTTTAGAATAGACGGCCTTGAGTGTTGTGTGAAAGCATTTTTTCATTCATGTAAAGAAAATAAGATTTTATCCTTATCCCCTATTATAATATTATAAATAGTAATATACATTTATATCTATATGTGTTTTTTTTTTATTTAATTATGAATAATAATTTTTTGTAACTTGTAATTATTATTCGTGAAGTGTAATTACTATAAACAATTAAAAAACTATTCCCCATAAACAATCATGGGTCTGATCGGATATAATGGTTGAGGAACAATTCAAGGTAAATCTTATTGTTTTTGCCCTGATCTATTATCATAATAAGGTATTATGATATATAACAAGATTTTATCTCACTTCACCTTGTAAGATTTGTTTTGTTTTTTCTACAGTAAATTTTTTTAGTTAAATAACTTTAGTTGCTAAATTGTACCATAATATAGATGATGCTGAAAGCAATAAAATACTGAGCACTCACTATCAGTAAGATGGTGTTGGACAAAGAGGAGTCCTGTTTTATAAAAAGTTGGTAATTTTTTTTTTAAATTTAATTAATCACCAATTTTAATCTAAAATCGTTTTAGTTATTATATCTCTTAGAAAGACGACAGACGTGGAATACACATTCTAGACATAAAGATAGAAACTTACCCCTCGACGATACGACTTACTAAATCCAGACTAAGACAATCCTGAAACCTGTTTGCACTTAAGGACTAGAACTTTGGTGAACAGGAAAATTCTATAACATCAAACGCATCCAATAATTCCAGTACAAAGTCCTTCGAATAATGGTCGATGCTCTTAACTTCTCTATAACCGACAAAAGTCATCATGATCTAAACATCCCATTTGTCCCAGAAACCTTATCCCAGAAATTTTTTCCAAATTTCACCAGAAGCTTAGGTATCATCCAATGTCACTCAAGTGCCACTCATTCCTATAATACTCCAAGAAGGTTAAAACGGCAGTGGTCAGTTATAGCAATGGTCAGATCAGTTCTCCACTCAAGACACGAATGTAAGTGGCTAAAGCGCTCTTGATCAATCTCCAATGGATTTTGTAATAGTGTTGGGGTTGAGAGAGTAGCGTAGGAATCTACTGGAGTTTTGCTTTTCCCTCTATAGTTGTAGGAACAAACCTCTCTCGGAGTTCCCTCTTCTGATTGTAAATAGTGTGTATAGATATGTATGTGTCTTTTGCTTTCTTTAATTTACTTATTTTTAAGTTTTTTTATTTATTGTACATACTTTTGATTATTATTTAGTTGTTATTTTGCTTCTGTTTATTTATTTATTTTTGTACATATATTGTGAATGTGATCTTACTTCCCTATAATCAATGTCTAAGTGACAGAATGTTATATTATTCAATAGATAAATAAATAAATAAATAGATATAATATGAGATAACGATCGAACACTGTTCCAATCCTTTATGTTCTTTTTAAATATAAAAGTAAGGGTAATAAGTACAGTATGTATGATGACAGTTGCATAACAATTAGAAAGTATGCAACATATATAAACTGTTGATTTTATTGATTAATAATGTGTTGTAATCATACATATATGGTTCAGATCACCAAAAGCTTCTCTGGTTATAAACTATTAAATAAAATAATATAAAATATAAATAGACTGCCATTAAGAGGCGATTCTACAAAGAATAAAAAACAGACTGTTGCCTATTAATATATATTTTTTTCTTCTTGTTGACTTTTGATCTAAAAAGATAAATTGAATTAAATCAATTTGTTTTCTGTTATCTTTTAATCTTTAAATAAGGATCAACTAAACAGATGCCATGGTGGCGTTGAACTTTACTCCCTTCTGTATCATTGATTTCAGCTGAACCAAAGACCAAAGGTTCAAGAGTTTGGTTAAGATGTAGGTAGAATTTTCTCGTGTTACAAATGATAATGGTATGAGTGACAAGACTTTCCTATTCCTCAACTTTACCTGATACTTTTTGTCTCATTTACTACATTAAAAGTGGATTGACTGTATCTGACTCTAAATTTTAATTTTTTCCTGTATTCTTGTACTATCAATAGACCAAGATCTTTTCAGATTCCTGTAGTAGTGGAGCATTGAAATATTTCCAGATTTTGAATTCTTTAAAACCGGTATTTAAAAGTGGCTTAAAATGAAACAAATATTTCAAAACGATGTACCTTAATATATCTTTTAGATGTAACTGACAGCGAAGTTTTGCATTATTACAACTATCTTCACAATTATAGTTCTTTATCCTCTTCATCCACCGAACGATAACCGGAGCTGTCTGAAAAACACATGGAGAAAAAGTACCGATAAAGAACTGCTTATAAAAGCTGGTCAGTCAATATCCCACGATATGAAGGCACGGAGGGTAAGATGGGCGGGACATGTAGCTCGTAGTAATCCATCTGGAAGTCTCTACTTAACAATGATTGCCTCAATAGAAGGTAAAAGACCACGTGGAAGGGCTAAATGCAGATGGATAGATAGACTTAGCAAAGATGCAAAAGAGCTGCGTGCAGATAACTGGAAAGAAATAGCGCAAGACAGGCAGAGATGGAGGAGGATTGTTAAGGCGGCCCTCATCATTATTGTATACAATAAACATATTTAGTTAGAATTACTTGATTTAGTTATTTATAATAAACATATCTAACTGAAAAATTTACTTGAATATTAATAAAAATTAACATTTAATGGGTCTTAAATTTAAGCCTTGTTTAACTAATTAATTTTCAATCACTTGCATGATATGCTATTGTAATATTTATAATATAGAAAAGTGTTTAAAATATATTAATATAATCTCACCAAGCACGAAGTATATATTTGTATATTTTATATACTTATATATTATAAGTAATTTTTTTAAATAATATTCTGAAGGATCATAAAAAAACACTTACCAAGCAATACAAATTAAATGTTTGGTTATTAATGGGAAAATGTAATCATATAGTCTTATGCCTCTAAAATGTAGGCAAAGAACTAAATTAGCTGCAAACGTTCTACCAATTAAGGTATTGTCAGGCAAAAAAAAAAACCTCACGGTATATGTTCGGATGTCATAGGGTGATTTGATCTTGGTTTTTGTTCTTCACTAATAATGTCTGATTTGGTGAAACTTTTGTGATTTATTTCGTTCTTTTCCAGCAATTTTGTGACAGAAGGCTGCCCGATTGATTTTTCTGTAATGATAACCTAACCTCTAATTTCTGTCTCTTGATGGATTGGATCTAGTTCTTAGTGGTTTGTATTAATATATTTAAAAACTGCAATAGTTGTCCAGAACTTGCAAAAGGTATTAAAAACATTATGCTAAATCTGGTATCTATAATAATAAAAAGAATAAATAATGACAAAAACTGATTTTAAGTTTTATTTTAGATGGCTTGATGTATACAAATTAACGAAAACTATGTTTAAATAGAGAATGATATTTTCTCAAATACTGTATCACCATTCTCAGCAATTAATTATAAAACTTATTAGTAGTGATTGTAATTCAAGAACTATATTTCTTTCTGAAAATTTGTTCAGGATCGTAGATTTTCTCAAGCTTTAGGTAGTCGTCTGGCTTTTCTGTTAAAACTACCTTCAGATATTTGACTATGTTATTCTTTTGTTTTTCAGAACATTTCTTACAGTCTGTTTTTATTATTTCTGCCAAAACGTCTGAAAAGTAAATGAGAAATACAATTAATTATATTATAGAAATATTGATATCAAAAGTATTGTGCTCTAGAGTTATTCTTAAAATTAAATATATATCTGAAGTACAACATAAATATATATACATATATACTTCATCTAACGGGTATAGCTAAGAGCGGTCACTGTACAACATGCCAATGCTTCGGGGTTCCAAGACACATTGCTTTCAAATGCGAAAGATTCGAGAAGCGTAGAAGAATTAGTTTAGGATCGCAAACTACGGATGATGGAGCTAACTTTCTTCGTTAGATGAATAAAGATAACGCCCATGACTTGATAAAGTTTTTGAATGACATAAAAGCAGTTATATAATAAAAGTCACCTTTTATTCTCACTTAATTGTTATGAAACTACTGTCACCTCAGTTTTTAACTAATAGTCTTTCTAGTTCAAATGCTATATAAGTTACATTGATTATTTCGTTATATTCAGTGGCCATCTATCTAGAAATATTCAATAAATATTGAGTGTAATTTCATCTTACAATGACAATTAAAATATTTCATTGGCAAAATAGGACTTGCATTTACAAGTCTTAAAGCCAAAAACGAACAAAAAAAATGTGTATATATATATATATATATATATATATATATATATATATATATATATATTGGAACTTCATACTTAAAAAGTTTTTGTTGCCAAACTGTGAATAAGCTGAAACTCTTTCAGAGTAAATTATGGAGAGGAGAGGGAGCATTAACTTGAAACTAATGAAACTTGGGATGTACTTTTGGTTATAATCATATTACAAATTTTTAACATTTAATTGCTAGTATGGTTCGAATGTATTTCATATAGAGCTGTATAAATAAAGTTGATGAGAAATACAAGACAGAAAGCGGAAGAAATTAAAGGAGTAATACATACTATTCTTGTAAATTCTGATCCCCTATGATAAAAGACTAGATGAATTAATTACTAATCTAAATAATTAATATCAACAAATTATAATTAATTAAAATGTTTATGTTATTATAATTTTGTTATTATTATAATCTGCATAAGGGTTTCCTTCTTTTATCTCCAAGTGTTTATTCATCCTCAATAAATATTCTCAAGTATTTATAATAATCGAACCCACCGTAAGATCAAATGGCTACAAATAAACTGTATTACTATAGACCGATTAACAAACTGAAAGGAAAAGTTAGAAAATTAAAAAAATATATTAACTACTCACAAACGACTATCAACGAAAACTGGAAAGCTCTTTAAGCTCAAAGTTTTAATTATTTTACGGAATTTCAAATCTTGTCAAAACTTCTACTAACGTAGAGTTGAATAATCTCTTCCAAATGAACTTCTCACTTTATTCTACCTCAATGCACAACTTCATTCCCAGATTACCTTTCTGAAAAGCTCCTGAACATATCCTAATTACTTTCTACATCTTAAAACTTCTTTATTGAAAAGTTTTTTTTTTTTTTTAGGCTTTAAGGCATAAAACCCAAGGGTCATCAACGCCGGTTAGTCAGTTATATTTGTAAACTCTTCAGACGAGAAATGAAAAAAAATAATAAATAAAAATTAGATAAAATAATAAATGAAAAAGATATTTAAAACATATAAAAAATGAAATATATTAAAATAAATATAAAAAAATAAGGCACAATAAAATAAAAATTATATTTTATTTAATTAATAGCATATGAATTTTACGAAAATTGATCACTATTTTATGTCTGATTCGTTGTTGCTTAATTCTGCTGATATATCCGGTTTTAGAGATAATCGATTTATTTGAAGTGTAATAAGTGCATTCTTGGAAAATATGATTGATTGTGAGAGAGATATTGCAGTGATGACAATGTCATTGTGGCTGCTTAGTGCTGAGTTGTACATGAGTTAGATTTGTGTTCTTTTCTTAACCTGGTCACGACGACCTCCTCTCTACGATCAGGGCTTCACTGATTTTTTAACAACTTTTAATTTGCCAGGTGGACATTCGTTCCACATAGATTGCCAACTATCCAATAATTTGTTTTTTGCAAGGAAAACTCATTTCTGGAGGGGTCAGATAGGAGTACCTCGGTCAGGGAGCGCGAGTACCTGTTTGGCTGCCATATCTGCAAGCTCATTACCAACAGTGTCCACGTGACTGGGAATCCAGACAAAGCAAACTGCTTTACATAATCCCTCAATTCTTACCCCTTTTATACTTCTCAATATCCATCCATATCTCATCGACAGATTAACCAAAGAAAATCACAATTCTGCTTATTCATCCTTTTCTTTTCAGCCTCATTTGTGTTCTTGTTCATCAAGGTTGCTTTCCCGATCCCATCCTCCAAGCAGATTATACACTTGACATCCCACCCAATCCAAATGCTCCGAATGGGGATTTCCCCAATAAGCCTGTATATCTCTTTAATCTTCTTTTCATTTTGCATTTACTTATTGTATTTTATTTTAATTCGGTTCTGTATTTTCTTTTTTTATTCAAGTGTTTCGATTCCTCTGTCGTTCTATGTCATTAGGCATTGTTTAGATTGCCTGGACCCAATGAATGTATGAATATAGCTATTCTTGCTTATAACTTAGAAAAGCGTTAAAAAAAGTTATGCAACATTATGGGACACTTATGGGACAGTATTGTACAACTTCTTAAATCTCCCGGTCTTAAATAATCGACACGTCTTTCATGAGTATATAAGAAATGACACAACATATATATAAACTGGTATCAATAAGAAATACTGACCTTTGAGTTCCTTTCCATCAGGCGAGCATGTACCAGTGTCGTAAAGACACTCTTGATACTTCTTGTAGAGCCTCTCGTTCTTGAGGATCTCTCCGACGTCCAAGTTGTCATACTTGGTCGTGTAAGTATCAGCTGGAATAGCAGCGGCCACTGAGACCATCAACAATGCAAGGACCAACTCCATTCTGTCTGCGATTACTGGAATACTCGGCAGTTTATATATGTCCAAGAGGGCCTATGCGTGACCTAGTCCATTATGTCTTTAAGTAATCTAGGGCATGGCTTTTGTTTTATTTGGTCAAATAGGATGTAAATGACCAGTTTTCCTTGCTCATATCAGAAAATCTTTCAAAACTTTTTCAAATAAGATTTATATCTCCAGGAGAAAAAGACACCAAAGTAATTACCTCATCCTGTCTAGAACAGCAATATAAAGGCTCTTATAAGAGACTCTTTTATATATATATATATATATATAAATTAATGTTTGGTATGTAGTATATATTTTATATATATTATATATATCTATTTTATAAATATACTATAAGTGTGTGTGTATGTAGTATATATATATTTTTTTTAGTTTGATATTGTTATAAAATTATTTATCATTTATTAATCATTTATTCTTAATAGAATAAATGGATTATTCTATTTAGTTTCCATGGTAATATTCATTTACCATTCAATAATAAACCATAGTAGTTGTTAAGAATTGAAAAGATTTGATTTAGTTTTCAGTGTATCGGTAGTTCAAAGTTCTATTGTCTGTTCAATCTAACTATCAGTATTATTTAAGTTCTGTGTAATATATTTGATTTCTGACTATAATATATAAAATTATTATTATATCTCTAATATATCGAAAAGAAGTTAGATAAAACTCATTAAGGTATCGGCCTGGCAGAGAATATAAACACTATAATCTGCAACTTTGAAAATATCTTGGACAATTTCCTTTGGATTTGGACTAATTTCCTTTTCTTTTTTAAGCTTTTTCTGCTTGATGAGTTTTTTTTTTTATGATTCGTTGGGTCTGCATTTTATTTTGCATTTATTATTCTTTATTGGGTAATTATTTAAATGAGAACCACATGGATTACACGTGATTCCCAATCACTTCGGTTGCATTTGTTCATGAAACTCCAAAAAGTCTTTCGGATAAACACGGGTGCAGTCGGCACTCCATGAATATGTGTGACCGAAGTGATTTAGAACCATGCGGAACCATGCGTGGTTCTCATCTAAATAATTACCATTTAACAAAAAAATCGTAAAAATCGAAAAACTGTTAACAAAGATACTGTCCATTATTTTTGGTATACTCTTAATATTGTCTTCCTCTTTAAAGATATTGGATTTAGGAATAGAATAGTCAACTACACTTTTTTTTGGCTCATATATTAACTTTATTTCTTAAAGGTATTTTTTTGTTCTTACATTTAATTTTTTTTAATAATTTAGAAAAGCTCATGATTGGGGCATTATTTTATCTTTATTACTTTATTATCTTTCGAGTCAGTGTTAGCGAAGTCAGTTAGTGAAGCAATTTGTACAAATATTTTGGTTTATTATTTTAAATGGAATATTGTAATCGACCAAGGAAGAAATATTAATTCCTTCCTTACATAATACATGGAAACTACTTATTTCCATATTGTTTAGCTATTTCTTCACTAATCAACATTTTCTGGGAATTATTCGCACGGGTCAACTATTATTTATGAATTTTAATGGACAATTACTTATTTTCCATTGGTTTGTTATATTTGTTGCTGATCAGCTGATTGATTTTAAACTTTCTCAACTGTGTTACCAGACCTCTCTTCCAGTATGGGATTGGATGTCTTGGAGTAGTGCGCTCTTGTGTTTGTTTTCTTTTCTATCCTTATGATGCATGAATTAAAGAAACGTTGAAGGGGTATTTTATTCTTTACCTATACTTTAGAGACAGAAGGCTGTATGGTAAAATAATATTTAATTTAGTTTTATACAATTAATAGTATATATTACAAGATATTTAAGCTTGTCTTTAGTTAATTGACTTTCGACATAAAAATTGATCGTTAGTGACTACAGTTGGAGTACATTAAATGATTGTTGATATTCGCTCGCTGGTATTTTTAAAATAAAATTTGAGTAATTCGAGGCATTTTTTAGTGTATTAAGCACAGTAATAACGCAGAGATTGTGTAAAAAGGATCATAGCATTTTCGGAAACGCTTATTGTTGAGTTAAACTCAACTCCACAAACTAGAGTTGAGGAAAAGTATTGCATTTAAATTACTTTGAAAATTATTGTTTGTAGTTTATGTACATACTTTATTTCTAGATCGTTTCTTTATAAATGCCCTATTAAAAAAACGCTGCAAATTATTTCACAATGGTTTATTATTTCCACACAATTGTACATCTAAAATAGCATTACCTTCCAAGTTATAAATCTGTATCCTGAAACATAAAACCTCAAATTTTGAGGGGGATTAAGTTTTTGAATTTTTAGGTCGATCACAATGGTCCATTATTGAAAATAATAAATCAAAATTATTTCATAGAAATATCACCTATATACAATTGTTTTTTTCAAAACACATTTTTTTTCTGTAGAATATAGAACCATGGTCTAACTGATTTGTTTTCTTCTTACTTAACGCACATCGACTCTTTGAATGTTCACGGTATAACCTTTATAAAAAAAGCAAAAAGCAAAATATAAATTTCTGTTCACTTTTAATTTTTTGTTTTGTGTTTAGCTAATTACCCTGAATCACTCAATTTATTTTAATTATCCGATTGCGTAAAACTAGTAACTAATACTTGTACAATTTTAATAATTACCAGAATTTATGATTTTTAACATAAATTGTTTTGTATAAATATAGCACGTGTTATATCTGAACTCAGTAGTTGTGTTTTTTGTTCTCCTTTTATGATGATTGTTCTTGTTAATGGCATCCAATCTTCCGTAAGTAATTGCGTGTGACCTTCGTAAACTGCATGTACCTATGTACTGAAATCCTCTAACAACTGCATTTCTAATGTACAATAAATGAGGATGTTTAATTACTTTAGCCTCCCATTACAGCGAGAGGATGTGTAATAATTTATATTCGTCAAATGGTAATAAATAAAGTTAAATTTAAATAACAAAATAATTTTTTCTATATTTTTTATTTGTATTTCTAACCGAAGAAACTGAAAAAATCTGGTGTGTCCATCACACGACTTTCCTACCTATTTCATTCGTTCTAGGAAAAATCACACTTGATTGTCAGTTGGTTAATTTCTTGAACACGACCTTGAGAAGAACTACTCCGATATCGTGTGCCATGGCTTTCGCAGAAACTGTCAACCCGTGTCCCAGTTACTCCAGCGAAGAGGAAGGCCGCCCGGGGATGTCGCCCTTGCCCGAAGAGACCATGCGGGTCGGATATATTTATAGGTGTCCATTTGTCAGCTTTGTTCTCACCGAACCTCGGCCTACTTGCCCTACGATAAATCTCTATCTCATCCGTTATACTCAGTCTCTCCTTGTTAAATTATTTAAGGAACATTTATTGTATTAATTAGTTTGTTAGAATTTTTCAAATATATTAAAAGGCTTTTAGAAGCTTCCTGTGGTAACGAAAAAATAATCATAATTTTGTATGATTTTTTCCTTTATAATACTAATCAATAATTAAAATTTAAAAAATGATAGACGATAATGAGTCGATGAAGAAATTCGATTGATATCTTAACTGAGCTGGTCGGAAATATTTTGTGGTCAATAATAATAATAAAGCCTTTTATTACATCTATAGCTCTTAGAAATAAGATAAAGGCCCGTAGCTTTCTGGGATTAGTCAATTTTTTTTGTCGTTTCATACCAAATAGATTTTGTATCAGATAGATCATTGGTATCAAAGCCTCTTCTAAAATTTCTTGAATAAATTACATTTTTTATAATTCTTTAGGCGCATTTTGAACTTTTTTTGTGGAGGGTGGAATAGATTGAGCCGTCAGATCTGCGATGTATAACGCTCGGGTGAAGTTGGTTGGAGTCGACTCTAAGTGTTTTTTCATATTGATTTTTTAATCTCAGAAACTAAAAATCGTAACGGCATACTGTAAGCGAGGGAATCGTTTAGCATTTTATTCTCTCTGTAATGGGATATTATTCAAAATTGCATCTTAACGCGACGCCCGGTTAAAGAGGCAAAAAGAAAAGGATAGTGTCGAATACCAACTGATAACGAGTTTTATGGATGATATGAATTAAAATATCACAGAAATTAAAAATCAGACCTGCATACTGAAAGCGGGGGGAAATGTTCAGCATTTCATTCTCTTCACAATGAGCTATTATTCATAATTTATATTTTAAATTTTGTTGATGTTTTCACTTATACCGTGTTGTCTAAAGCACACACCTTAGTTTTTGTTTACTTAAACTATATAAGAAGACGTCTAGTTATTACTTAATTAAGGTACTCAGAAATTAGATTCTGTTAAAGATATTTTCTATCCTATTGAATTATGTTCATACTCCTGTTTTATCATTATCCTGTGAAAGTTGTGTGTAGCGCGCACAGAATTTTTTATTTCTAACTTTGAACTTCACTTTAATTAACTTAACCTTAATAAAATTAAACTTAACGTGTCTCCTTTTAATTAAATTTTATTTTTATTATTCACCACCAGCAGATATAATTATAAATAACCTTATTTTTGGCTTTGATTACCAACAAGCTTTACGCATTACCTAATAATAACAAGCTACCAACCAACCAACTATTTCCATAACTATAAATATCAGAAGGTCCTGGAAAGTAAAAAAATTCAAATATGCATATTTTTTCATACAGAAGGCACATGTGGAATACATTCTTCATACTGATTTAATAGCAACAGAAACTCCAAGAAGAGAGTTATTTTTTTTTAACACTCTTATTCTTTTCTATGACTCCTCTATGAAATAAGTATAGCAACGAATGAAGCTATGATTTTTTTTATGTTTTATTAAATGAATCAGTAAATATTATTGGCACGCATTAAACTTTATATCGTGGTTAGATCTGCATTTCCACTTCATTCCACGTGTCGGCACGCCATTGTTGTGTCGATTTGTGTTTGAGAATTTTATATGGCCTTGGATGGACCATATACTAATCTTCACTACGGTACAATTTTTCTTATTCCTCCACATAAATTTAAAAAAATCTGTAAATAGATTTTACTTCCAATCTTAGTGCAACTGCAAAGTTAAATTTGTAATTTTTTTTATAAACACTCTAGTTAGCTGTGAAATTAATTAATTATCTATTAACTGTGACATCTTCAATTCTTACATTTTATTTGTCATAATTACTTTGATTTTTATATCATGCATAATCCTGTTTAATATTTATTATTTATTTAAAAAATTACCTAAATAATAATAAATGGCATTGAAAACATATAATAAATCATACTCCAGAAAGATGTTTTACTATATCTTACAGTCATAACATGTCGAATTTTTTCTTATGTATCTATTTCGATTGAAAATAACAAAAATCAACAGAACGTTAAAATAATAATAAATATAAACTAAGCAAAACCACTGCTTGCTTGAAGAAATTAGGTAGGATTTTAGAATCCAAGTGAACTGTGAAATTAATTTTTTTTTGTTTTGTTATAGAACATTTAATAATTCATTTCAAAATTTAACTAGCCATAATAGTGGAGGTAAATGGAACAATTTTGGACCCTCAAGGCACTTTTATAACATCAAATCAATGCACATAGAAATTTTAATCTCTATACTAAATTGAAAGAACAGTAGAAGTGGAAAAACCTTAAAATTCGGGATTAATTTCCATTTAAATTTTCAATTGAAAGGGGCTGGCTGTACAGGAGCGCAAAACATTAAAATCGAAATAAAAAATACTCAGAAACACCAAAGTCTTTACGAAACTTCACTTTTCTTAAACAAATAAATAAATAAAATTGGTTTTCCTTAATTTTTTTTTCTGGTGTAGTTAAAATATAACATATAAGTGCAAAAATTCTGCTTCACTTGGCTCTTCTTGACGTATAAAGTACCATATTTAAATTCATTTATTTTTATTCTTGAGCGATAATTGGAAAAATCCAAACAACAAAGCCACGAGTCTCCAACATACAAGTAAATAGTTAACTTGCCAACGTTTCGCCGATTTAGACGTCATCAGGGCAGAAAAAAATAAGATATGCAGAAATAAAACACAAAAGTAGAAAAAAATTACTATGAGACAAAAAAGAAATAACTATGAAAGAATTTGATTATTAATTAAAGGAGAAAAGTCGTAGAATGGGATGGAAAGTGATGAATTGTAATTTTTGTAGTTAGTGATCCCTACTTTTAGTATTACTATATTTTTTTAATAACAAATAAATGTTTTATTGGAATGAGAATGGAATGTCCATTGAAAAATAGGGAAATCTTCAATATTTATATTTTGCTTGATAAACTTGTAATAACTGTCCTGGAGAGGGATGTGGTGTAGAGAATCCATGCGAGGCCTTTCAGAATTGGGACTGACAAAGAAAACGATGAATCACAAAACATCAAGCGTTCTGAAGGGATCGAACATGAATTATTACGGTTGCCATAAATTGTTACCATGTTGAAAATGATAAGAAATAATGTAGGTGTTATTTTTTTAGTTGGATGCGATATCATATATTCATCACTCCTAATCTGAATTTTTTTAAAGAAACTTTTATGTAATGATATTATAGATTTTAATCCGATTTAATATAAAACGTTCAATATTGAATCCCACTTGTGCTTAAATAAGATATATTACTGAGAGAAAAAAAATATGTGTATGCTATTAACAATGTATTATTTTATGAATATTATGGATGTGTATGCGGGTGTAAGTAGGTATGCTTATAAGTGTATGTATGAGTGGTCATGTGCCTGTGACTCTGTGCATGTATGCGTGTCCATTTATTTATTTATTTTTTGTTAATCAAGTAAATTTAACTAATCGATTGTTAATTTTATTTTTATTGAATTTTGCATATATTGGGTCTGTATGTATATTTAAATTATTTATGACGCAGCAAGTTATTGCATAGCTTTTGACGAAAATCTTAATGCTTGTGAGACCTGGGGACTCTAACCCAGGATTTATCTTTATCTTTTTATTTTTATTGTTTATTGGTGAAGATAGCACCATGTTAAGGTAAATCGAATTGTGAATAAGAAAATTTTGTAAGGGAAAGAAAAGAAAAAAAAAGTATGTATTTTCTGCCAAATAAATAAATACTAGTTTGTATAATGCTGAAGTATGTATTTGGATGGGTTGGTGAGATGTCAACTGCAATATGTTTTTTTCCACTTTTGTTTTTTCTTTCTGCATCTTGATTTTTCTACCCTGATGATGCCTGAATTGCCGAAACGTTGGCAAGTTAACTATTTATCTGTATGTTGGAGACTAATGGCTGCGTTGTTTGGATTTTTCCAATTATAACATAATTACCTTATGTCTCTTTTCTAGCTTTTCTAGCTTATTTTAGTAATATAGATATTATTTGGTATAATGTAAGCATATATTAAAAACCACCAATATCTTTATTTATGCTGTTTATTTTATTTTTTTATTAACTTAATTTTTAAACTCACACCTGTCAGAAGTTCCGATAATCAGCGAATGGGATGTCAAGATGTATAAGGTTAATATGTCTTGGAATAGGCGTGAGAGAGAGGAGTGCCCAACGGCGTCCTTCCTTGTTGAATGTATTATTTATAGTTAGTGGAGGAGATCTCTCTCATCCAGCTTCTTTTAAGCCTTCTTCGGGTGCTTTCGGACACGTTAGTTGTGACCATGCTTCAAATCAATGAGTTGGTATGTCCGTGTAAGTTATTATGAATTATCTTGTAGTGTGCACGTATGTGGTCGTTAACTATTGGCATCTGTAAGTCTTCATGTAAAGTAATGTTACTAACGTACCAAGGAGCCTTTGTGATAGTCCTAATAGTTTTAGTTTAAAAAGTCTATATTTTACGTATGTGAGTCTTTTTGGCTGTCCCATATATCTATGAAGCGTAGGTCCAAATCGGCTTAAGTAGGTAAGCATTCAATTTCTGTCTAAGTTTTAATTTCGAATGTCTTGCAAGGAGTGAGTACAATATTCGTAGTCTTAGGTTTAGAGATTTTGTTTTGTTTTTGATATGTGGGTCCCATGTCATTCTTCTGTCAAAGGTCAGTCCAAGATATTGAACATTGTCTGTCTGAGGAATTTAGATAGGTAAATAGGAGGGCAAGTTTCCGTCGAAGGTTAAAAGTGATATATAGTAATTTGTCTTGGTTGAGTCACTGAAGTTTATTTTAAGTTTTAAATAATGGCCTAAATTTGAGTAAGAAATATCACAATTATTACTGACTGAATTTGTTAAATAAAGTGAATAAGATGTTTATGAATAAATTATATTGATAAAATATGTAAGGGATCGAACGATTTAAAAAAAAAATTATAAACATATTATTTATTAATTAAATAACAATTTACAAACAAAAACAAACACACATCATTCATACAAGTTTATCACAGATATTTTTATATTTTGATTCCCTTCTTCTCGGCTTCGCTCTTGTACTGGGCCCTGTAGGTACCCTGAGGGTCGTAGATCTTCTCGAGGGTCTTGTAATCGTTGGGCTTCTTGTCGAGGAGGTGCTTGAACACCTTCTCTGCTCCCTTCTTCTGCCTCTCGTTACACTTGGCGCACTTGCTCTTCAGGGCGTCAGGGAGGATGTCTGCAAAAGTATCAAGCAATTAGTGCTGAAGTTTGTCACTTCATAGAAACTTCTTATAAATATAAATAATGTATTAATATATTTTCTTAGGCATAATTCGAGAATAAATTAAATCAGAAAAAAATAATTATAAATACCATATTTCGATGATATAAACACGAGTATGATAGTTTAAAAAAATCAAGTCACGAAACCTTTATTTTCCACACAACTTCATGCAGAAATAAAATTTCTTAAAAGTTAATACGCAATTATGATATTACTTCAATAATAAATAAAATCTTACTATGATTATTATACGTTTATCAAGCAGATTATAAATATTAAACCTTTCTTTTTTTTTTTTAAATGAAAATTCCATTTACTTTCGACGGAAACATTTATTTGTTATTACAAAATCATAGTAATAATAAAAGTAGGGATCATTAAACATAAAAATTAAAAAGAATTTGGTCACTTTCATACTCATGCATTTTACATTAATTTTGGCAATCAGAGAGACCATTAATTTTTTCTTATAATCACTATAAAAGGTATTTTACAGAAAACATTTTGGGAATTCGGAATTAACCATCCATAAAATTATTTCAATGAGGATGAGACCTTAGTGATATTAGAGACCAATTCGTTTTACATCGATATAACTAATTAAGTCAAAATTGTTTGAGTCGTTTTCAATTTTTGGTATTTTTGGTTTGTTGATTTTAGAAAAAATGTTGCCATAATATTTAGGATATGTCTTATCTTCCTTAAATACGAAATTTCGGTTTTTTGCGTTATTTATTCTGTTTATACTGCTCTCCATATTATATATTTCATATATAAAATGAACTGCGAACTTATATTCTCAGATTGATTAGACGTTTTGAAATCATTAAAGATAAAAAAGGGCACGTTTTGACTACAGAATAGAGGCATACCAAAATATTACGAACTTTCTGATACAAGCAGTATCAAATCGAATCATTCGGAGGTATGTTTATACTTTGAGTGAGTGTAGCAAGCGAATGACCGACATTCTACCTGTAAGCAGTAGACCATATTTTCAGTTACAACCTATGCACTGTAATAATCATTTAAAAATTTATTGTAAAAATAAACGATTGGTTTATTGATATAATTTTTCTATCAATAATAGATGTGATTTTTCTATTATTTTCTTTTCTTTCTTTAATCGACCAAAAATTATAACAATTTGGAACTCGCCTTCTAAAGTATAAAATACAATTAAACTTTTCCGAAATTACGGAATTACTTTATACATGAATGTCGATTATATTATTATTTATTTAAAGAGCATAAGATGATGAAGCAATTACAGAAATTATGAGAAGCTCGTATCATTAAAAAAAGAAAGGAACTTGGGTTGCTCAATCGGAATTTACCTTTACGACTGCATTAAAGTTTATTTATAGCTGGAACCATTATTTAACATCAGTTATATAGGAGAAAGTACAATTAAATTTAATTGTTTAATATCACTGTATAAAATTTAAATAAATACGATTTTGTAATCATTCGGGAGTGTTTGGGTTTCCATCTTCAGTATGATCGAGCATCTAACCAGAGGACATTTTTCCTACAAAAATATTCCTTGTGGCTTAGAAAAATATTGGAAGGTTTGACCTTTATTACTTCATTATTTAGACATGTGGGAATAAAGGCAAGGCCAAACGGATCAGTATTTTTGTAGGCCACCTTTATTTTCAATTTTCCGATCAAATTATCTTACGATGCTAGTGAAAAGCAAATGGGTTTTCATCGGTATTTGTAGCTATTCAAGAAGTTTTAGGCGATTTTAATAATTATATGAAAACCGGTCTGTAACTTCTAAATAATTATAAACCAATCCAGTTTTTTAATTTTTTTTCATTAATCAATTTAAACATTTTTGAAAAACATAAAATAACAGATTAATTTTAATTTTAATTTTGTAACCAATATTGGCTTTTTAATTATTTTAAAATGTTATTAAATGGAACAAATCAGTTGACAGTTTCCAAAAATTATAAGATATAATTTTTATTGAAAATTATCTATTATCGTTTATTCTCATTACTTCTCAGCCTTGATTGCATGACGAATAATTAATATGCAACATTGCATTGCAGCACTTTGGGACAGGTGTAAACAACAAGAAAATATGAAAATAAATTATTAATGATTCACATACACCATGAAACTCATTTATTACTTTTGTCTCAAATTAAAAAAAAAAAAAATATTGCTACGGTCAATAAATAAATTAGAAAATATTTTCGATAATAACAATAATATAAATTACAAAAATGTACATACATAAATAAGTGATCACAGAGTTTGTACAGTAAAAAGAGTATGTATTTCGTTATCTTGGTGAGATGTCATACTCAATGTTTATAGCAAATGTTTTCTTTCTGAATATATCTGATCTTATTTTTTTTTTTTTTTCCCTAATGATGCCTGAATTGGCGAAACGTTAATAAGTTGACGTTCACATGTTTGTTAGTTATTCATCGCTTTATAGTTTGGATTTTCCATTTATGACGTAATAACCGCAGGTCTCTTTTTTAGCTAGATGCTCAAATCAGTAATTATGATGTAAATAAATATAATTTTGGATATAAAAAAACAATCAAATTTGCAAATTTGTTAAGTAATATGAACGATTAAATCAAAATTAAATATATAAAATGAAACTGCCATGGAATGTATTATTATTAAAGTGGATAATATATTAAAAATATAATTTACCGATATAAAAGCAATCGAAAAACCAAAATTAACGCAACACGCAATTTAAAAACCACGCTGGACGTACACACTTTTGTAAAATAAATTAGATTTTGAGGTTGTGGAAATTATCTACAATGAAAAACATGTATTCAGGAAAAAGATACTGAAACCATTAGCAATTGCTGAAATTCTTTAAAGTGCTATAAAAATTAATTCGGGAACCGTAAATCAAAATTATACAGAATCATTAAACAAAAAACTATATAATTAGTATTACTCAGTAATTTTTTATAATATTTTGTTACATTTTTTTAATATTTGAAAAACATTATTAATAAATATTGGCAATTTAACCTAAAACGTCACAATATAGATAATAAAATAAAGATATCTTGTAAAAAATGTATTCTATACTAAAATTAAATTGCAGGAGTAATCCGGTCATTTATATAACCTGAATTGTTTATTAATTCAGTTTAATATTCTAGAAATACATTTTTTATTTCATTAATGAGTTAATTTATTTCATCATCACATCAATTTTTTCTCTGAAAGTTTTTATTTCGTTACTAAATGATCGTATATATAAAATGTGGAAGCAATATTTTTTCGCTTCAATTAGCTTCTAGAAGTGAGAAGACTTGGGAAGGAGGAGGTCGCCTGACCGGTCTAGTCAGGTTGTTTTGTTTTTCTTATAATGGCAAGTTTTTATCGATTTTTTCCCGTTTCTTTGTCGTTTTTCCACTGCATAATAAAGGTTGGAGCAGGCTATGTTTCAGCTTATATTTAATCTTAAAAAAAAAAATTCGATTCAGGTAATTTCCAACATATATAAACTCAAACATTAAATTAATATACCTGAATTTCTCAATTCCTTTCCTGCTTTCGTAATCTATTTTTAGGTAGCGATATCCTAGAGGCTGCGTCTAAAATAATTACTAGGAAGCTAATTTGAATTCTACTTCCATCCCCACGAAGGAAGGCCACAGATCCGGAAGACCGGAATCGTGAGGAGATCTCGACGACGGACCTTGGACGAGAGAACTGGCAAGTCCTTGCTTTCCGGAATGTGGATTGCAATGTAGAGTCAACCATTCTCTTTGGTGCATTGAGGTCGATCTTTAGCTATTGCAAGGATGTCGCCAAGAAACCTACTCTACTACACCGTATAGTAAATTTGTAATCAAAACCTCACACTACCATACACGTGACTTCCCCACTTCTCTTTTCAGTCTCATTTCAGTTGTTTGTCTACTGAAGGAAACTAAACGTAAACACCGTTGTTTATGCTACAGAGATTATGCTATGAAAAGTATAGGAAAAGTTTTTATTTTTAAGAGATTTTTCAGGACTCTGGGAGGTGCATTAAAAGAAAAAGTATACTTTATATTCAAGCAAATCCTGTTTCTAATGAATAATAAAACAATAATGTGTTTAAGTAACATGGGCGAAAACCACGCTCAACCAATTTTGTCAAAATCTGATTTATGATACTATAAGTGATGGAGTAGGTTGTAGATGAATTATTTAAGAAAAATAAAAGTTATAGAAATTCAAATTTTGTGTCCACTGGTACCGCATTTTTAGGGGAAGTACAACTATATATTTTTGGATTTTTTTAATAATTAAAAATGCCTAAATACCCTTTCTTCAAAGTCTTATTACCATCAGACGTGGTACAGGATTTCGTAAATGCGATCTACATCTTATTTTAATTTATATTATGAATTTTAAAATATTAATAAAATATATATGGTCGGAAAATGTTGGATATTGAGAACTATTTTCAATAGTTCTCTAGATACAATTTTTATGTTTATTTAAAATGAGTATTGTGACCATAAAAAAGGCTCATTCTACGTCGTAAAACAAAACAAAAAAAAAATTAACCAGAAATTGGTGTTGTCTTATTTCCTTATGAAAATAATGGAATCCCTGCGCCGTACTTCCTACTACGCCGTACTTCTTACTATATTTATTCTTTGAGAAATGTCAAATACACAATTAAATATTCTGATTAATATAGCTTATTCTTTTTATTAATTTTTTAAAATTTATTATTATATTTGCATTGGTTTGAAACGATTTTCTTCAGTTATAAAAATAGAGCAGAATATAAAAAACTCAAGTTTTTATTTTAATTTATTTAAAAAAACATTCGCTAAACGAATATTTCTTATTTTTCAAGTAATCAAAAATAGTATGAATCTAGTTGAACCAGTGCAAAACATTGTTTAAGAAAATACTCATATAGCAGTGAAATCAGCTTTAGTTTATACATCGATTACATATGATTATTAATAATTGATTAACTAATAATTGTTTGTTTTAAAAGCATTTCCCTTAATTATATTCCGTTGTTATTTGATGTTCCTGAAATAAATTGTTTCTTCCTATACACCCGTTTTTTATTTTACATCCTGGTAAGACATAAATGAGAATTTTAAATTTTTCAAGTACAAGTAGATAAAAATCAATTTGATTCATCATTTAAATAAAAATATATTCCTTATATCTTAGGCTATTGTTTGTCTCAGTTTTAAGGTAAGGATTGTTTCGATTTCCTGGTTGCACTTTAATTATAAAAATTGGATTATCCAGACTATTTTAATTTTTGTATTAGGATTTCTGCTAGAGATAAACTTAATTTTGCCGATTCCTGCTGATTCATCCCCTCTCCTCCCAATAAAAACAACTTTGTAACAGTACTATAGATGTTTCGAAATCAACATCATGTTATAAAATTGTTTCAATAAACATTTTGGAGTGTAAGAAAAAAAAAATCATGTTATAACATTTGCTCATTTTAATTACTGGATCATGGTCAAATTAATAAAATAACATGAATAAGTATTATTTATTTTATCTAAAAATGATATATTACTTGAAATTTTCAACTTTATAAATACTGCTACCTATAACAAAATCTACCTCTCTAGTTTTGGTTACGTTATAAGATAGAAAAAATGCCGATTTTTCCATATAAAAAGAAACTGATATTTGTTCAAATATAAAAATAATTTATTTGTATTAAATGTTGTTTTGTATTTGAATTTTTGGGTCTCGAGTTGTAATATTGATATTATCATACTTCATCAATCATTACGTCATCCATATTTTTTTTTTTTTTAGACGCCATTTAATTATCTACTCACCCTTCAACTGCTTGCCGTCAGGAGTGCACTTCCCCTTGTTGGTGAGGCACTGGAAGTACTTCTGGTAGAGCCTGTCGTTGTTGAGGATTTCGTCGAGGTCGATGTTGTCGTACTTGGTGGTGTAGCCGTCGGGCCTGGCAAGGGCCACTCCAGCGAATAGGATGACTGCAAGGATAACCCTCATCTTGGACCTAAGATAAATTAAACGTAGCTCCAGAAGTCCTAGTCGGATATATACCCACTTCTCTCCCCTCTCTTCGGCCCTTGAAGGCCCTGGCTGGAAAAGTTTAACCTGACGTAGCCTGTCTGGAATAATAATTAGGCCGTGCATATCCGAGAATTGTTGATCACAAATCAGAAGCCCGTCGTCCTTGGTTCCCTCACGGCATAATAAATTTCATGTTTATTCCTTTTAATTCTCTTTTCAGTAAGCTCCTTGAGCATCGGTTATAATTTCTTCTATTCACTCTCTCTATTTCCTTAGAGAAGAAACAAACAAACAAAAAAAAAATAATTACAATAGAAGATTATCATAATAATTAACAGTAGGAGCACTAGTTTTAGAATAGTTCTGGAGCCATAGCCTAAAATGGGTGCACATTTCATCAGAATATTTTAATGCAAATTAACAAAGTACATGTTATTTTAAGTAAAATGAACGTTGTCTGTCATTTCCAATATGACGGCAGATTTAAAAAATATTTGCTCCATCAGATGAGGATCGAAACAGAGATTATGCTATGAAAAACATAACCATAATAATCATAAAAGGCTTAGCGAATCCGAAGGTTCGATGCCAACATCACCAATCGATCAGTTCACACCTCTCTCCACCGTTCCCCGTCCAAACCTAGTCCCTTCAGATCGCGTTTAATGCAATCTTCCCATCTTCGCTTCGGCCTACCCCTCGGACGTTTATCATTCGGTACAGCAAATATTAACCTTTTAGGAATTCTCTCGTTACTAAGCCCAAAAATTTTACAGGGACATTAGATACGCCGAAATAATATCACATCAATTATATTACTCGGATATAGTTCACGCAATTCGGCGTTGTGTAACCGTCTGAATTCGCCGGTTAATTCATCCGAATATTCTACTCAATACTTTATTTTCAATAATCTGAAGTCGTTGCTCATCCCTTAATGTGAGCGGCCACATTTCACAACCATAAAGAACTGTAGGTAAGACAATGTTTTTATAAATTCTAATTTTTAAGTTGCGGGACAAGAGCCGCGAGGTAAGTAGTTTTGTCACAGAAAAATAACAAGCATTTCCCGCCTTGTCTAACATTAATCTCTTCTTCAATTTCGTTTTTACTAATTATCGTAGACCCTAGATACCTGAACTTCTCTACTTGTTCAAACATATTACCGTCTATATCGATATCACCAGTAGTATCGCCATTTTTGCAGCTAACCATATATTTTGTCTTATCCGTGTTTATTTCGAGCCCTAGTTCTTTACTGGCATTCATTAACGTTGTCGTATTTAGTTTTATAGTTTCCACGTCTTCGCTTAACAGTACCAGATCATCCGCATAGCCCAGCACTGGTTTTGTCCCACCCATATCCAATCCTTTCTCGGTTCGCAATACCTCCCTAATGGCATGTTCTAATGCCGAATTGAACAGGACCGGCGAAAGGGTCCGTCCCTGTTTCAAAGGACCCCCTGTTTCAAACCCGAACGAACCTCAAACTTTTCGGACAGATTATGAAAAACATAGGAAAAGTTTTTATTTTTAAGAAATTTTTCAGGACTCTAGGCGGGCATTCAAAGAAAAAATATATTTTATATTCAGACAATGGTCTTAAATCCTGTTTCTAATGAGTAATAAAACAATAATGTGTTTAAGTAACATAGTCGAAAACTACGCTCAACCAACTATGTCAAAATCAGATTTATATTACTGTAAGTGACGGTGTAGCTTTTAGATGAGTAATTTAAGAAAAAGAAAACATAAAATAAAATTTATAGATATTCAAATTTTGTGTCCGGTGAGCAGATACCGCATTTTTAAATTAGGTACAATAAAATAGAATTAATTCCATAATCTGGAGTCATACTTTTCGCTCCACAGTTGGAGGGACAATTCTGGTTTGGAGTTCTCTCGCCAAATTGTAAATATTGTATATAGGTGTGTATGTGTTCTTTTTATTTATTTATTTTCAGGTTATTTTATTCTTATTTATTGTATATATATTATTTTTCTGTATAATTTATTTTATTTATTGTACATAGAGTGTGAATGTGATCTGTGAATTCTATTATAAATGTCCTAGAGACAAATTGTATTATTTTTCAATAAATAAGTTTTAAAAAAAAATACATAATGGATGAAGGGCTAGAAGGGCCAAATGTTTATTACTATTTGATTCATTTTTTTTTCATATTGTTTATACCGTTTTTCATATTAAGTTAAATCCAAATTGTAAAATCATGCCACACATTTTATATTTTAGGAAATTAAGTTTATTAATAGTTGAGTATTAATCCTTAATCACTTTTATACTGAAGGCATATTTTCCACTAGAGTAAGCTAATACTAATTAATTATTATTATTATGCCTCAACAAATTTTATTCTAGGAATTATTTTTTAAGTGAAAACTTCTTTAGACGTCTTTTGCACCTTTTTGTGAAGAATTAATTAGAATGAGCCGTCATATTTGCGATGTGTAACGCTCGAGTAAAGTCGGCTGGAGTCTACTAATTAAATCGTTTTTGCGTATGGATTAAAATATCTTCAACACTAAAAATCGGACCTGCATGTTGTTAATGAAGATTACTATTCATCATTTCATCCTCATTGCAATGATCTATTATTCAACATTGTATATTAATGTGACGCCGTGTTAGAGAGGCAAACAGGGAAAAAATAGCGCAAAAACAAAATTATAACTAGTTTTATTAAATTTTTTTTTTATTAACGAAATTTACAACTGTAATTAATAATAAATACAACAAGTAAATATGAACAAGTAATATGACATGTACAACATGATGAGAAACTACCCATTGGTAGTACTCCAATTTATTAAATATATGAATTAAAATATCTCAGAAACTAAAAATCGGACCTACTTACTGTAAGCGAGGGAATTGTTCAGTATCCTTTCTGTTATGGGCTATTTATGATTAATATTTCATATTATTGATATCGGCTTGATATTTTCATATCTATCGTGTGGTCTAAATCAAACCGTTTTTTTTTTGTTTTTTTTTCCAGAGAAAATGTTCCAAAGAAGAGTGAAAGAGCCGACTGACAGAGGAATTTGGGTGAAGGAAAATTCAATTTATGAATAAAATACCCTTAAGTAAATAAAAAAAATATTTGGCCACGTTATTTGTTATAATTAGTATTCGGTTCATAGTATTTGTTTTTGTTTTCCGTAAATATCTCAAGTATTATCAGATCTTCTTATCTAAAATATAATTGTATAAGTTAATTTTTTTTTTAATTTATTTAAACAGGTTTTGGGTTTTTCCCCTAGATAACAATCATTAAATCAACTAATACTAACACTCATATAACAAAACTACAGATTGTTTTATATTTTTTGATCTTTTTGTTGAGTTTACTAACCATATAGATTTGTTGCTGCCTTAATCAACCTTCTCAATCTGCATGCAGCTCTGCAACACCTTTGTTGATCCGATCTATCCATCTAGTTTCTCGGCTCTCACTTGTTTTGCTTCCTCACTACCAAAGGAAGCATTGTATTCGTGCGAGAGGTTAAAAAAAATTTGTGCTCAAAATTGAAATCTTCCATCCACTCGTTTCAGACATCAAGGATCAAATTTGGTTCAGTGTCTGTCTGTCTATAGTCAAATAAATGTAACGTGCATATCACCTACAACCTTTTATCCGATTTTCATCAAGTTTTCATGAATTGTACCAGTTGGTGTCTAGATGGTCCCATATCAATTTTATTAAATTCCAACCAGCACTTCCGCTTAAGCACGCACAAACGCATTTTTGTAAATATGTCAATATTGTAGAAATTGTTGGGTCGCTTTGTCTCAAGGTTGTATAAAAGGTAGGTATTTGTGAAAAAATAATGTAGGGTCAATTTGATTGGATTCTATCCATGTTTTTTTCCAATATATTCGCAAACGTGTTTTCCTTGATACATCTATATCTCTAAAACCGCTAGTTTGATTTGCCTCAGATTTGGAGGGAATTTAGGGGTTGGAAAACGTAAAATGAAATAGGCATCAATTATCAAACTCTATCTAATACTCAAAAAAAAAAAGCTTCCGCTTTCGGATCAGGAAATGTGTTATTTGATATACCTATAGTTTGAAAACGAGCATTCGATTTGACCGAAACTTGGAGGAAATTTGGAAAACAGTATAGAAATTACTTAGTATCAATTTCATTGAATTCGATTTAATAATTAAAATTAATGTAAATGATTGTTAAAAATATAATGGCTGTGAAATGTGGAAAACACTTCAAATGGAGTGGAAGTTAGGTTATTACAATATTGCTGTGGGGTTATAAAATTTTAGGTTTTATTAAAATAATTAATTTATACTGTATGGTTTGGTCCAGTCCAAACGTTACTGGTATGGCACTTAGGGTTCGTGTAATTTTCAGTAAATTCAAAGTAATTTTTACTCTGAATTTGTAAAAAAAAAAATTGTTATAAAAAGTCTTATTTGTTATTGTATTTATTTCCATTGAAGTTCAACCTGCACGTCGAGGTCTCGATTTTCTTCCAAAATATAAAAAATTGTGTCAACTTTACTCATATTTTTATATCCCAGCTTGATTAGTTTTGTTCTGATTGAAGAAAAGTATTGGTCTCGTTGACTCCGAGCAAACAAAATGTTTAATTTTTTCTATATATTTTTTGTTCCATCCAATTTACCAGTTAAAACATAACTATTAAGTATATATCACTGCTAAAAAAGTTTTCAATTTTTATTCTATTTTTGACATTATGTAGTCTGCAATTGATATAAGTCAGTCTACTAGTATGAAAAATAGCAGAAGACAATAAAATATAAAATTATATTTAAAAATCATAAAGAAATGATTAGTTTTCATACTCTCCTGTAAAGCACTCAATTTTCACATACGTCATTTGCACTAACAGTAGCAAGATACATATTCACTATGCACTGGAATTTTTTTTTAAATTACGAATTATCAAATATGCAATCTGTAAATGCGGGACTTTTTCGCATTTTACTATCTGCTGATAAACAAAACTCGTGGATATCAAGCCCGTATATGTTAACTGATTACTGAATTTCCGAAAACGGCTTCTTCAAGATATTTTATCCTCATAAGAAAAAATTTAGACCTTTTAATATGGATGTTATTTA